AGCGGTCTAAACGTTCTGCTTTGTTGCATATCAGGGAGTCATTTTCGTCCCTGATTATTACGCTGACAAGAGGTTTCCGAGGCCCAGTCGAACGAATCAAGTGGAACAATTTGCGCACGTTTCCAGCATTCTTCGCATCTTCCATTTCTACGACCTTTCGGGTCCACCAAGCTTCTCGGTCTGCGCGGACACACAGTTTCACCTGGCGTCGGATGATGCGCCGGGTGGAGTTGTGGTGGCGACCAAGTGGAACCTGTCGCCGGGTCACCAGCAAGGACACGGTCCTATCAGAGATCCAATGCTTGGATGAGGTTGGCCGGGTTGAACCGCAAGCAGACACTCCTGCTTTGAGAAGCGCCTTGGATACTTTTTCCCAGTGGCTGTTTATGTCCGACACCGTAACGTCCGGCAGGCATTCGAGGAGCTGGTTTTGATAGTTTCGTTTGACTTCTGGGTCCACTAGTTTCTCAATGGCTAAGCGAGGTGTGCGCGTTTTGCGTACCCTTCTGTCCAGGGTAATGTCAGTTCCCACCGATGGAGCTCACGTGCAATGACTTTCATGACTCGATAGCATAACATAACGCGACCAATTCTGAAACGTTTCCACGTCTCACCAGGTTGGGTTAAAAAGGAGTGTGTTACGTAGGCTGTCTTCTGGCTAGTATAACCTTAAAAAGTCCCACTGGTTCGTGTGGAATCTTTCTTCCAGAAGCCACTCAACGAATCTCAGTAACACTAACCTGGTGTCCCACTAGGCGCAAACAATGTACCATAAGCACTGGCGGCCAAATATTCCTAACCGATTTACGCCTTCTGTCCGCTCTAACCTCTGTTCTTGACAAGTCGACGCAACTGTCCATGTAAACTAATCAATCGACTACATCGGTCAGTCTGTCGGAAAGTAGCGGCGCTTTCCGCTTTGCAGTCGTGGAGTGTTCACCAAATCGCTCATCAGAACTATTAAGACTAGTTAGTGTCGCTTGGAGTTGCGTAAGGCTTCTCTGCATAGGTACATTCCCTTTCGTTGGATTGCCCGAGTCATGCTGCGTAGGGTTTGACGTGATGAAAAACACTGAATCGTTTCAAATTTTTAAGCTCTTCGAGCAATCGACGTCCTAAGTTCGTATCCATAGTTGGACCTCCCGCAAGCGCGGCAGGAGCGTCCCTGAAACCTGTGTACTGCGAACAAAGATAAGACTATCACTGTGCGTAACGAAGTCCAGCCGTTTACTTTCACAGTATGCTGTGCAGAACTCCACCGATGGGTTTTAAACAGCGTGAAACACGTCTTGTAATACCACTGCATACAGGATATGTATCAGACAAGGCTGGAAAGTTAGTGGGTAAAAGTAACAAAACTGAGGACTACTGTCGAGTGCTACAAAATCAAATGAATCGAACTAACCGTTAATATCCCCAGTGTGCTTCCCCAGAACTCTTGAGATGATAGGTACTCCCCCAGGCTGACAACTGTTAATTTATCCCGTGTTTTTGAACTAATTGACTTGTTCCGCTTATTCCATTTTATTAGGATGCGCGGATGCTTTCATCCACATTACGCACTTTACATTGTAGAAATGATAGAGGAAATATAGACTAAAAGTTAATAACATCACAATTTTACACAACTCGAAGTCCATTTGGAATATTCACACAGTTTAGCTGTTCATCCGATAACCTAATCAACCTATTATTCAGCAGGATAGATAGAACCACTGCCCTATAGTCAGACGTGTTTCGTCCGCAGTCAATCGCCTGATGTTCCGTGAAAATAATAAAGCAGGTGTTCAATTGAAGCAAAATTTTCCGAGAACACACGCATACCTTTTCCAACTAGAGAGGTGCGAAAATAGGTATGGCTCGGGGAGTCAAACAAGCTGACCGAGAGAATCTGAGTGCCGTTCAGAAAGTACCACGATCGGCTGAAAAACACCAAGGGTCGAATTTGAGTAAATCATCAATTCCTCAGAATAAGCTAAAAAACAGCATGCTTTTCGGGATCATCACCATCTTCAGCTACAAACCGTGTATATACTGTGCGGTCCATGAGGATTTGAATCCACAACAGCTTTGGTCAACCTGCGTCACTGTGGTTCAGGCGTGACATCAGCTTACCTGTCAAGAATCAAACTTACAATGCTGAGGTGCGTCAGAAACCTGGTCACTGCGAGCTGATGACCATCAGAACACTACCCAAGCCTAATGGGAACATCGGATCAGTGACAACAAAGCAGGTGGGCTCGAAATAGCTCAGTGGTTAAGGCGCCAGCGTGTTTCGAACCTCAGCATCTCGACTGCTTCGGTGTAGGATTGGGCAACCTGGCAGTATCCCAGCCCTTGTGTCTGCTTCCGTCGGCGTGGCTAGGAACTGAAAAGGTGCTACAGCTGAACGACAATGGCGGTTATCACCATCATCCACAGCACATCAGTGTTGAACACCGGTGCTTCGCTGCCGTACAACCATGATGTATTTGAAAGTCTTATTATGAAAATAATAAACGTGGATGGGTTAAGTACCTAATACTAGTCTGTCAAAATCATTCTAAGGTGCCTACACCTACGGACACTCATTCAGGTAATCTGGATAAAAACTGAAAACAAGAACGCCACTGACATCGATTAACAGGCATAGCTTCCAGCGTTTCCAACCAGGCGCAGTGGGAATCGTGCGGTTTCCATCCTGGAGGACGAATAGCACCAACAGCACCCAGACGTTTCGTAATATCTTTCATACCCTCCTGCCAGGTCAAGGATTGGTCACCTCTCTGCTTCCACTAGTCTGAATCGGGCACCACCACTCCCCACCACTCTCTTCCGTATATGATGGTTCGACATCCACAAAATATGGCCTAACTAAAGCAGCTTCTGGTGCTGGACACATTCCGCAATGGAATTCCCCATTTTGAATTGTCTCATGAAGGATTCGCAGAAACTAAAGCACACGAGCTATGGTCCTGAGACCGTGACTGTCGGACACCTGAAGGTGTCCCAGTTCCGCTGCTCGAAGGGACAAAATTTCACAGCATTACAACAAAACAAACCACATTGTAGCTCACACACACCTCCCTTGAGATTCAGATATACACAGGTTTCTCAAATTAGCAAACGCCACGAAGGGCTTGCAGATTCGTTCATTAACTTCATCTGTCAAACTACGGTCAGGAATAAGACAACTTCCAAGGTATTTAAAACGCTCCACGAATTCGTGTACCTCTCTTTGGATTGTAAGTCGCGTGTTCGGTGACTGCATCTTCAGAAGCATGACCTTAAACTTTTTGGGTGCAAAGTGTACACCAAAGGACCGGATAACTTTGGTCAGTTAAGCCAAAAACAACCGCGCCTTCTCAAATTCGAAGATGAAGCCTTTTCAAAGACAAGATGTCAGCATATTTTAGATCAACAAAGTTTTCGTCAGAAGCCATTTGAAGGAGGGAGTCCCGAAGACCTTCCAACGTTCGTCCCATCATCTCACCCATCACAAAGTGAAATGGGAATGGGGGAGATGGACATCCCTGACGGACAATGCTTGGTGTACGGAATCTTTTAGAGTTCTCCCTATACTAACACACGCCAGAAAGTCTGAGATGGACAAGCATATCAAGGAGAACAGACCAGTCGACTAAGTCGAATGCGCGTTGCAAATCCATAAATACTAAAACCGTGGGTTATTTAAACGTATGACATTGTTCTAGCACCTGAGGGAGGTAAAGATTCTATCAATGCAACCCTCACCAGGCCGGGATCTCGCTTGTTGCTTCCGAGTCAATGTTTCACGATATACCATGAGGCGACCAAGCATAAGTGACTATAACATTCTCGTTACGACCGGGTTCCAGTTGATCATCCTGTGTAATCACAAACCCATTTTTGAAAATACGCACCACAAACGCCTCTCTCCAGTTGTCTAGGACAGCTCCTCTTCCAAAACAGATCAGGAAAGCACTGACTGAGGACTTCCCGCATCGTTGAACAATGCGAGTAAGAGGTCATCCGGATCAGAAGCTCCATTGCTCTCGTGAGAACATACACAGTCGTAAACCTCCGAGGCCTTAGGGGGTTCCAAGTTCAACATCTGGGGTTCTGCGTCAGTTGTGAGCTCTAAATTGGTAACAGCCGGTGGCCACGATAACAGTTGTTTGAAGAACTCGGATGTCCCAGTGTGCATTCACATCTGATGGTGGAACAGTTGGAAGCGACTCCAGAAGACCATTCTGGCAAGTTCGTCTGACATCCGGATCCAAAAGTCCTTCAGTTGCCAAGCGGTTTTTCTGAACCCTACGTGGCCCCGAAAAACGATGGGAAAAGTGACTGTGGACGGGTGCGTGGTCTGAATCCACAAATGTGGTTCAAAACGAACGGCAGTCAGTTATTGATCCCCGCCAACAACAACTGACGGTAGTGTGACCAATTTGAGTTCGTAGCCGGCCCGCCGTTGAAGGACTCCACGTGGACAGGTGACTTCAAATATTTCGAAAGTTAGTACTGAATGAAAAAAACCTGTGAGCAGCACACAAGTGAAGCGATGGTTCACCATTGTCCGCAACACGGCAGTGAAGTATCGGTGTTGAACACTGATGTCATGCTGCCGATGATGATGATTATGATTAGTTTGCATACCGACCCATCGGTAGCCGAACAGAGCGCTGTTTCCGTGCCAACTTTAGAGTATTGGACTGGTCAAACTCTGACCTGGCAGAAGAATATGAAAAATATGAATGAATCAAATAAATTATAGCTGTATGGTATCGAAGCATCAGTGCTGAAAACTGGTGTTATGCTGTCAATGCCGATGATGATGACGATGTCTGGTAATCCCCGGACTATCAACCGTGTTGTTGGGGCGAGATGGCCCAAGTGGTTAGAGCGCGAATTTACTGACCGGAAGGTTCGTGGTTCGAATCCGACCTCCGCCACTTGACTTCGCCTGTCTAGGCTTGGGCAACCTGGCAGTATCCCAGCCCTCGTGCCTCCTTCGGGTGGCATGGCAGCTAGGCACCGGAAGGGTGCTACAGCTGGACGCTTTCTTTCTTTCTTACGCTTTCAACCGTGTTGAAGTTAAACTCAGCCCCATACCTGAACACACAGCCTCTGGTCTCCCGTTAACAGTCGTCCTGACTCTGACTGCTTAGCTTCATTGAGCTTAATACAGTCGATACAGTAGTCAGTGATCAGTTGTGATGTCAGCATATTCTCTGAGTAATAGATGTTCGAATGTTGGGATATTTTCCATCCAGGGCTATCTGAGCCACTTAGAAAAGCAAATAATATTGACAATATTATCCTCGCGAGTGACGTGAGTGCTCGAGTCCGTCGAACCGGAAGCAAAGATCACCACACAAATAACGGGGAGCTACCTGGGAACCAAGAGTATATAGAGGGCATAGACGAGGTTTTAGCAGTCATGTATGGGCACGTGTCAGTCCAACGGGTAGCTTTCTAGCCAATAAATGTGATTGGCGACGGTTCTAATGACTCTAAACAACGTTAATTGTCGGGCGGTGTCTTTGAAATGGCTATGACGTAGTTGAGGCCTGGGGATAGATTGATATGGGATCCCGGTTGGAAAAATGGCGTTCATTCGAAAGGGTTGGGTTGTGACAAATATAAGCTCCTTGCTATGTGTTGGCTGAGGGTAGCTGATTCAGTCCTGAACGTCTTGTTGCCTGGTCTCGCTTGCATTACGCGATGTAGTCCGCTAAACTTTGAGTTGGCCATCCAAACAACTTTCACAGAACCAGGATTTGAACGGGTTCACATCACTATCAAAGATCGGCCGCATCGATATTTGCGCAGCTGGAGTAAAAAATATTTGTCGCAGTTTGTACACCTCATAACTACTCCCACCAGGTTCGGAATTTCACACACCGATGGGGCACCTGTGAAAAGCGTCTACCCAAGACTCTACCTACAGAGTGAGTTCCACAAGTTCTAGGCTGTTCTCGAGCTCAGCACCATAGTGGTTGTTTGAGATGTCAGTGGTTCAACGGCTCCGCTGTTCGTTGTCCAGATTCTTGAAACCGTCAGAAATCTGGATTTTTCCTCATGTCCGAATTTCCCTCCAACAGCGCGCCGCCTTAAGATCAATCAGCAATACAATCAAGATACAGAATAAATGTTGGAAGGCGCTTGAGGCTCAATAACAGGAGCAAAAGGCGTTCGGGGAACTTGTGTAGCCATCGTTTCAGTCCCGTTCAGTTCAGTTTATCAGCCAGGAACCACGAACCAAGGGTAGTTCGGTTCCAGTGCTACTGTCTCGGTCACCAGAAAATGAGAGAGCAGGAGAAAGGGAGCAGGCATGGTCAGTTAGTTTGGAAACCTGGGTTGCTATACATTTAAGGTGTTGGCTTTGACGCAAATGAGCCACTGACTGTGATTTAACAATGTCTGACAATATCACCAACCACTGATGAGTTGAGTCCCAGGGTTCGCATCCACGGAGACAACAGTTGCCGACGCGAATCAGCTTCCTGGTGAGTGTTTTCATACTTCGTTGCAACGTCACTGACTATTCACCTTTCGGTCGCTTCAGCTCAGCGAAGGGCTGCGAGAAAAAGGTTCTACGAGGCCGACGGTCCTCTGGCATATGAAGTAGGTTCTAACTAGCACAACCTACGGAGATTGAATAACTCGTCCATCATCGGGTAGCTTTTTCACCCTAAAACCGTCTGGTGTACCTACGATGTTCCAAGCAGTGCATTTGAGACATCAATGGCCAAAATCTGACAGCTTTCGTATGCCCTCTGCGCGTAGAGGTAACGTTTCTGATCTATGAAGAAGTATGTTTCGCACAGCTCTGTCCTTGACAGAAAGTGCAACATCTCACCGGTACCATAGGTTGGCAAAGTAATAATAATAATAATAATAATAATAATAATCGCTCAGCTGTGCCACCCTTTCGGTGACCATTTGCCACGTCACCCTAAAGAAGAACAAGGGCTTAAATGCTGTTATGGTGCTCAAGCCTAGATAGGAGCGGTCGGGATGTTGTGGATGGGTTCGAAGCACAGACCTTCTACCTAGCAAGTTCGCTGAACTATCTCATGCTCAAGTCGGTAAAAGCTATCCTCGCCTTCCTGATTCGAGAAAT